AAAAGACTTGTGGACTCTAAACTGTACAGTAATTTAAGATATTTATGAACTGTTTAATGAACAGAAATTGAGCAATAAAAAAAAAAAAGAATTACAGTAAAAAGTTGTTTCTAAGATTTAAGAAATGGCATAATAATAATAATAATAAAATATTTGGCTTTGTAATGCGACTAAAACATTTTATATTCTATACACCTAAAATACTTCCAGATTTTTAGCATTTTATATAGCTTTTGATAAAATTACTGCTAATTAATGCACCATTTTTACAGGCATTCTCAGTCGGCAATTGTAAATAATGCATATAAGTTAATTTAAAAAAATTTTTGAATTTATTTGTGGATTTTTATTGATAACGCTGCAATGATTTGGCTATCGGCAAACCAAAAAGTTCTTATAATCAAAAAAAGAGAAAAAAAAAACACTAAACGTCTTCATCAGGCCGCTAAATGATCATTACTGAACAGGCAAATAAAATAGCACATTATTTTAGTTTTATGTACAATTCTCACAGTAAACATTCGAAAAATTGATGGTTATGAACTTTTGAACTTTTGCAGCATAATAAATTACATAAACGCTTATATTCCAAACAGTTTCCCAGAAATGAAACTCTTTGAAATGGTGGTTTTACCATTGAAACCATTTATGCATTTCATGGTTTTGTCCTTAACGACAGATGGCTACGGATTCAATAACATCAGTTACATTCTTACATTAGTCACACGTTTATGAAATTATGAGTGTTTAGGAATTAAACAGATAGAGCCTTATTACAAGACTTGATTAATAAGCAGATAACCGAGGTTCTTTAAGTCGGTTTTTGAATGGGAGGTCTTACTTTTGAACAGGTAATTTTGACAGTGCCGGATAAGAACAGCTGTTGCACGAAGTTTTATAGAGATGTTTTTATGCTACTAATTTAAAAAGTAATACCCCAAAACAAAGAAAGTGATAAAATTTTTTAAGTTAGTAAAGCAAAAAAAGAAAAACAAAGGAATAGTGAATGAAGGTTATTTCCTAATTAATTAGCGATATTATTCAAAATGTACTATCTCAGTTTGGAAGGGTTCTTTTCTCGAAGCATTGTTGAGAACTATTTGTACAGTTAATGTTCAACAAAAACGGTCAACATTTTTTCTTAATTGTATTCAAAAAAAATTGACTTTTTCGTATTTACAAAAGAATTAATCAGCTATTTTATTTCTTCAAATGAATAAAATCAAAGGTAAAAAAGTAAAAATATTCTACTGCGATAATTATCATGTATGACAAAAAGAAAAAAAGAATGAAAGTTGAAAAGAAAAACGTTACTTAGAAAAAAATACTGTTTTTTTTTGATAAAAAATGCTTTTAAATATTTTTATTTTAAAATGCAGTTTACTAAAGTAAAGCCGCCGGGTAAAAAATATGCAAATTTTATTTGAGAAAGACTTTAAATAGCTTTATCTTCACACACTTCTCTTTGTATAACCTCGTATTGGTTGCATCTGTTAGAGGTTCCTTTTTAATAGGTCATTCGACAGGTTTTGCAGCCGTCAGCATTCGGTAAGTGGATGCTCAACTTTAAGTTCCTCTTATCATCAATTAGCAGAGAATAAGAAAAAAAAAAAAAAGGAAAGAAGAGTAAGCAGGTTTTCTTTCTTTTTTGCATAAAAGTTTTTAAAATTGTTACTTAACAAAAGTAGTTTTTATTTATTCTGGTGATTTACATCAGCTAGCTAAACAGAGAAAGAAAAAGAGACGAGAAATCGAAGATGGAACTGATTATAAAATTGCCGATGTTCTTTGCTATTGTTATTTCTGCGACTAGCGGACAATATTTCTTTCAAAATAATGGTAAGTGTCACTAATCGTTAAAATAGATTATTCTTAAAATATTTCAGCTTTTGTCGGTGTAATCTTGAACAACGGTATGGCACTAATGGCAAGATTAAAATTTTCAATATAGACGTTTTTTGGATCATTTATTTATCAATATCGTTGTCTACAGTGTTTCAGATAGAACACACAATTTAATCACAACATTTTCAAGCGGTTTTACAAATTTCATTTGAAATTTTTTTTGAAGCTTTTTTTTGTCTATTTTTTTACACAGAAGGATGGTTTTGTCAAATTTTTTGGATGTTTTAAACAATTTATTATTATTTATAGAGGACACACTTATTACTTTTGACAAAGAGCATAAATTTTTGAGAACTGCAGATTAAAAACTTGGTGCGACTTTTTTTACAAAGTTTAATTCTTGCAACGTGACTTTTACCCTCTACAGAAGATTTACCTTTGCTTCTTTTTTTGAAATTGAAATTGCTGGTAATTAGTGGTTGAACACGAGCATTGCTTCATTCTTATGAAACCTTTCAACGTCTACGATTGAAAATATCAGTATTAAGTCGAACTGGGAAATGGTCTACTATTAGAATAGTATGTGGTGGTTCACAGAAACAGGAACAATGACCAATAATTTGTTGTGTAAAATTTAACTTTCTTAAAATACGTTACGAGGTAGATCTAACAGAGGAAAAAACACTGATTTGGAAAAATAAAAAAGCTTGAAAAGTAAGCTTTTTTGCTTATTTAGAAGAAGGTTTTTCGTTTTGAGATCTTAACATATCTTTGTTAGTTATAAATGAGAAAAATTAATTTTTCTACTGGATTATTATTTCTACTTTATAAAAGCCTTTCTACTATAATTTGAACGAGTGGGGAGACGTAGAGCTTGAGTAACAAAATGAGGCCGGAATCAATGTTTGAACTAATCTTACTTGTAAGGCCGAAAGTTTGTATTGCGGTTACGCCGTTACTGCCATTAGCCGGCGCAAAATTACAGCATAGCTATTGTAGGTTTCTTTTATCACATTGTTCTTTTCAACCTTTTTGTAACCTAAAATTTATCTTTCTTTAGTGGTTACTTAAATCTGCTGTTGTAAATTGCTGTTCTAAGACTAACCAAATTGTTTTTGAGGTTTTTTACCTGTTGTCAGAAAAGGATAGAAGTTTTCTACAGTACACTGAAACAAGGAAGATGATAAAGCTCCAATTCAATTTAAAAAAAATCTTTTTCTCTTTACGTTTTATAAACTCTTGAGTCAGTCATACGCAGAGAGAGAGAGAGAGAGAGAGAGACTAATAGTAAGAGAGTCACAAAACTTTTGCCTTTTTTTTATTTTGAAGTTACTAAATCACTGCGACTTTTGACTTTTTCGATCAATAAAAAATTTTGTCATCAAATTCAGCATACAGACCCTTCTGCCTTAAATTGCATGCTTCTTCGTCAACATCTCAGAGTTTTTTCTCTTTTTTTCTAATAGTCTTGTTCCGGATTTAATAAAATAAAGTGAGAAGTTTTAGAAAAGAATCACCTAGCAAGTTATGCTCTTTGAAATCGCAAAAATTGCGGATTTTTTGCTCTGCGTGTTTACCTTCTCGTCCTTTTGACAGGCTTAAAGTTTCTGGTTTGTCAAAATTTTTGTATATCCAAGTTTTAAATAGATATTTGAAATTTTTATTCAATAAAATAGGCGAGTAAATACAGAAAAGACAAAAGCTTGAAAACACATTTAAAAAGTTACTTTTAAATTTAGAGGAAAAATTTTATTTTATACAGAGACATTTTGCAAACTAGTGTCTTACAGAATTGTAATAAGCCCCCACTACACAAAATTTTTCTGCCTAATAAATTTTGTGCTCAACTTTGACAGCTGAATTGATATGAAGTTCACAAACGATCTTGTTCAGTTTTTAAAGTCTGATTAAAGTACCAAATCAGGAGAATGTCTTTGAAAATGTAAGAAGTTATTTCGCAACGGGCAGATAGAAACATCTCTATAATTTACCTTGTCAATATTTTGGTTATAAAAACAGATACAAACCCATAAACCCAAGTTGACGTTTCTTCTCCAATATCTTGACATTATATTCTTCAATTTGAAAAGGTAATAATAGGTTCAAAATAAATCTATGCTTAGCACTCAAATAAGTGGAAGTAGAAGGTTTAAAGTTTAAAAGTATTGCAACAGTATAACAAAGCTCAGCAGAAACTTAATTGTATTAATGTCGATTTTTTCTCATTGGTATGTCAAAAAAGAGCGAACTGTTTTTCTTCTAGAATTTACACAGAATTTCTGGTACTTTTATACCTGAAAAATTTATACTGTTATTCCACAAAAAATTGACTTTTAGGCTTCTCTTTATAGTGGTTTAAACTAGGTGCAAACTCTGCCAGCCGACAAGTAAGATGTTAAGAGAAAAAAGTGTGTGAATTAACGTGAAAGGGTCTACTTATATAAACTTATAGACCTTATGACGCCAAATCACTTGTACATTTGTAAATCTTTCAGACGCTTTTGATGTGCTCACCGCCCCAAGGCAGATAGTCAGTGCAAGTGCTTCAGAGGCCGACAAAATTTCAGAGCTTGAAAATTCGCTGCAAAGTTGTCAAAAGAGAGTCAAGATAAAGAGTCAATTGTTAAGACGGGCTTGTAATACTGAAAGGAATTGCCAATGGTCATTTAGTAAGCATTCCGTTTAGAAAAGAAAATTAATTATTTATTCCAATTCCTAACTGACCAAAACTTAACGGATTTTCTTCTATAAATTTTAAGAAAAAATGCTTCGCTTTAATCAAAAATTGTGACGTATTATTAAATCACTTCACAGCTCGTTTCTTTTATGTAAGTTTTGTTTAAAGTTCTGAAGCATTATCACTGAGAAAATTTAAAGAACTTATGATCTAACAACTATTATAAGCGCTTCAATAAAACTTTAGTTCAATTTGCAGATGCATAGAAACAAGCAGTAGGTGAAAAAAAGATCAGTACGGTTAGTACAGTTTCAAAGTTAATGCAACGCTTAGATTGTTTCAGCGAAAGACGGACTCACGCAAGCGACAAATTTCAATGTTGCTTTTTGGAGTATGCTGCAACAGCTGATTACTCAAGCAGGTAAGAAGTGTCTCACTAAGCTTTGGTTTAAAAATAAAGCAAAGCAACAAAGATAGATAATTTACTTAGTTATAAAACCATCTAGCACCTTTGCGACAAGCAGACGCTTGTATGTCGCACTCTGATTTAAGCTTCACAAGAAGCAAGTGACTTTTGAAAAAAAGCAAAACGTTCTTCCTGTAGATGCTTTGCTTGTCTTATCTTCATAATTACTTTCTTTCTCGACTCAGAAACATGACGAAACAAACCCGCAAAGTTTCCTTGACGTAATTTGGTTATACTTCTAAAATTAGTAAATCAAGCAGGAAAGGTTCAAAAAATGCAGATAAAAGTAAAAAGAAAATAGAAAAACTTGGATGAAAATTTTTAAAAAACTGCCAAACTTACTGACAATTAACTTTGCATATTATTAGCTGAAGAATAAAATAAACTGTACCAAAGTTTTAGGAAGCTGTAGCTCGGGGAACGCTTCATCGTGTACTGAAAAAGGTTCTGACATTGTTTTTGTATTGGATGAATCAGGAAGCGTTAGTGACCAGCAGTTTAAGGTGTTTTTCGTAGCTCTTTTTCAACAAATTTACAAGTGTTGTTTTTTAACGATTACGGTGAAACATCTTTTGAAACTGAAGAAGAACAGTTATTCTAGTATTTCGAATCTTTAAAACGTGAAGATGACTGCTAAGCTTCGTTAATTACGTCTTCTAGACTTAAAAAAATGTTGGACCATTCACAGAAGAAATCTTGTAAAATAATGGCGTTTGACCTGTTTATTTTATATTCTGTATTTGAAGAACACCTGCAGTCTACATGTCAACTTTAAGGTTATCGAGCGGTTAGGACTAGTAGAGTTAATGTAAAAATTTTTCAGTGAAAAAAAAAGTTTTTTTGACAACATCTAAGTTCTCTCACCAAAACATAGCGTTTATATGGCCAAAACATAGAATTTCTCAAACTAGCAGAGAGGCTACGTGATTTTAGCCAAAAGTCCGTACCAAGTCTGGCTGAAAATAATGATGTTTGTTATTTCAGCAGCTTATAGAATCCTGCTATCAAATGGTTTCGATGGTTTCTATTGGTACTGGCGCACAGGTGAGTAACTTAAATTTGATGATCGATTGCAGTAATAAACTATTGACTTTTTGTAGAAATTGGCGTTTGGCCTGTTTAATAAACAGTGAGACGCTAATTAGTCAGTCTTATGCATTTTCAAATATGCCTCTTTTATAAGTAATTCACTTTTATCTTTTTAATTATTACAACGTTTCTTTATTTGTGACAACGTGACGTGATACTTAATTGTATGATGCTCTCTAAGATCTCAAAGTTGTGGCAAAGAAATACCGTAGTGAATTATCTTTATTCCACAGCAGCGCCATGTCGATGACATGTGATGTAATATTTGCCATCCTGTTTTTTTAGCTTAAATTCTATCCGACTTACATGTTTCCTAACCACTGCTTCCGAACTTAGCGAAACAGTCTAAAAATACTTACATAATGAGAGCCTTTACTCTTACAAGTAGAATTCACTTATCTACGAATGGCTAGAGCAAATATTAGAAAATGCTTTCTGAAACACTCACATTCATTTGTGGAAGTCAAAATAATTTTTTGTCTTATGTATATGACTTTATCTGACGTTTGTGAGACTATTCAAATCGTTTAAATTTTCAATTCTTTTCTAGGTGGACTTCTATTTTCCATTGTATTTTATTAGAGCACGTGTAATACAAAGGCAGTGAAAATAAACACCACTAAAGTAACAGAAATACTAGCAAGAGAACAGGAGGTAAATTAAGGAAAAAATAAAATTAACTGTTTGCGGTTACAAAGTGAAAATACTATTATAATAATGTGTGTCACTGAGAAGTAAATAATGTAAAGCGATTTGAAAGTAAGAAAGATGACTTATTACCAGTGCTTTAAAATCAAAAAAACGTAGACAAACAGCTCTAAATTTTTTCAATAAATTAATTACCGTTGAGAATCTATTGAAAAAAGGTAATTTTCTAGTAAAAAAAGTATGTTAGAAAGATAAACACGCCTTACTACAATAACACCAACTGTATTTGTTACCTTTGCACAGAGCTTTAGCATAATTTCAATAATTTATTTACTAAATTGTGATAAGTGCGAAGAACAGAGGGTAAAAAAACAGTTCACGCCTGAAAGGGAAAGAGCACCAATGTCGCCTATTTTGCATACCCAAACGTTTAGTCGGTCACTGTTTTGTTGCTGTATTTCTGCATAAAACAAATTTTTTGTGCTTCTCTTCTTCTATTACGTTCTTAAGACGAAGGTTCATGTCGTTTGGTACCAAGTTAAAGAAGTAATAAAAAAAATTCCATCTATTAAAAGGTTTTTTTACATTAAATCGCACAACTTCCTTATCGACTTTGTGAATTCCACTAAATTTTCTTGACTAGTAGAATTTAAGTCAAAGCTGAACAAATTTTTACCTCGATAGCTTTTTGATATAAAAATGATAAACCGCAGAATTCTTTGAAGTGAAAGTCATTGTTTTTTGAGATAAACAGTAAAATCAAGCAGCCGTGCTACAAACAAACTTTTTATCTTCAGGAATTTCGTTTTGGTTTCGTTCTGTTCTCTCATACGGCGAGACTTATTTTTAATGTTAGTGCTTACGAAAACAAAGATGTGCTGCTAAAGAAAATTAAAGAGATTGTAAGGGGTAATGGTAACACAGATATTATGAAAGGAATGCTAGTGGCTTTGGATGAGGTATTTTATGTCAAAATTTTCTAACGATTTATAAAATATAATTTATATTCAACTTAAGAAAACTATAATTTGAACCGTAGACATTGCAGAAGCTACTTTTTTTCTCAAATAATTGCCAAATTACTTAAAACAGGGCTATGAACAAGGCTCAGGGAGGTCTAGAACCATGATTGTCATGACTGACGGAGATACCCCTTACACTGACGAGGACTTCACTAAGCTGCAAAAAAGTCTATCACGAAACAGCGTTACAGCATATGGTGTTGGAATTGGCAACGGTTAGTTTTTTCTTTTTTGCAACGGGTAAGTGTTCGTATGGTCTTTCAACAAAACACTATCCGTATGAAATAATTGCGGTTGTTTTTTTTTCACCGTATGCGAACAACTCGGGAGTTTTACATTTAGACAGCATGAATCAAGCGAATTCTAGCAAGCTTATTATCAGTGTCGCCAAAAAATTTTACTCGTTAAACTTAAGGATAAATATGAATATCATAAACAGAACTAATGTTAAAATATAATGAAGAGAAGTAGGTAGAAGAGGGTTAAAGAAACTAAGTTGTCTTGTCTGTTTCTAGATTCATAATGAGTTAATTTTTATTGTTAACTGTCTGCTTGTAAAAAGGTCACTTCAGTGACAAAGGAAAAATGGGAATAAACTTTTTTGAAAAACCTTACATCTCATTTTTCGCAAGGAAAGAGTGAAAATCCTGCAGGACAACAAAGAGTTTTCATGAATTTCAACAGTTTGCCGTTTGATAGCAATTACAAAGTTATTGCGCATAACCTCACTGCTCTACGTAAACAACTTTTTGGATTGCTGGAAAGCTATAGAAATGTAGTGAAGCGGACTTTTAAAGTGGTCTTCTGCTCGCTGTGGAGATTAAGGGTTTTGAACTAAGAATAATGTTTATGCGGTTAAGAATTCAAAAAACAGGTGTCGTTTTTTAGCAATGTTATAGCTTAAGGAGATAATAACACTGATGAAATACACCAGAAGAATAACGTGAAATGAAACGAGCTTTTGGAATTTAGCAAAGCGTTAAAATTTTCGGCGGAAGCGAAATACCGATGAAATAAATATTATTTAATGTCCGTGCAAATATTATTTAATGTTCGTGCCTACCGCGGTTCAGAACGTTCTACTGGATATTACTATAAAATAAAAGCCTTAGTTTTTGTATGAAATTGCAGAAGTCGATGTTGAACAGACTTGTGTGTTAATCCTGTTTATTCGCCGCACCATGCAAAAGCTTGGCTAATTTTAAATTGTTACTAGCTGACTAGAATAAAGCGCTAATGATGCTTTTCTTAAATATTAGAAATAATTTATCTGTTTTATTCTGGTGACACTGCAAATTGAACTTTTTTGCAGAAGCGTTTGAGAAAGAACGAAAGTGAGGTGAAAGTGCTTTCTTACTTTCTTTTCTGTTGCATCCAGTAATTTCAAGTTGCTATTTAATCGTTTTTGCTCTTTACTTCCAGCATCATTTTAAACTGTTTTCTAAGCTCTAATAGCTTCATTTATTTTATGGAGAAATTAAAAAGGCATGGCAAAAAAAAAAAAGTTAAGAAAAATGGATAAATTGGAGTGGTCATTCTGTGTCAGCAAGGGCGTCAGCAGCGTGTGCATTCCAAATAAATTTTACTGTTTTTCAGGGGTTAAAAATGAAACACTTACGAAATTGGTCGGTTCCGAGGCTCGAGTACGCAATATTGATAAATATGATGAGTTGTTCACAGCAGTTAGACGGATCGTTTGTTAAAAATGACTGTTTGCGAGATGTTTCTTCGTTTCTGCAAAAATGAAATATTTGTTGGAACATTTCTGTAACTACATGGGTTTTATGGTGGAAGTGTTTGCCTCTCTAAATCTCTGCAGTTGGATACTGCTGTAACAACTAAAATATCTTTTTCGACTTTCAAAACAGTCAACAGAAATAAAAACTGTATTTCAAAGTTGAACAGTAAAAGTAAAGATGTATTTTTAAGAAACAACTAAATAGTAAACTTAATGCGACAGAACAATAAAAAATTATAAAAAAAAAAGGAAAACTTAAATGTGGTTTTGAGCAAGGCCCTGCGATACCTCGGTAGAGCGGTACATTTTGTCGCAAAAAGGTATATTTTTTTAATTTGAGTCTTAATTGAAATCTCAACTTTGATCAGTAATATCGGCAGAGAAGACAAAGCGTAATTCTTCAGCAAAGCTTCTGTCACTAATATAAGTTGGAAATAAGTTATAGGTGAAAGACTTAGTTCATCGATAAGAGCTATTCTCATTCACAAAACAAGCAGTTGTTCCTTTAGAACAAAAAATTTTTTGTTAACCATGCTAAAAATTAATTTGTTTTTTTTTTCTGTCATTTTAATACTCGAAATTTCCAGAAGCCTCTTGTTAAAAACGTGAAAAAGCTGAAAAATCAGATAAAACAAGATCCAAGTAGTGTTAAGCGGAGTCTCTCAGCAGCTCAGTAAAGCAGTGCTCTACTGAAGAATTCGTCGTGAGTTTAAGTTCCACTATAAGTACTTGTCTTTCCTTGGAACCGTTAAAAGAAGCTGAATTCTTGTGGCAACTTTGTAAAAGATTCAGCGTAGGAAAAACCATAAAGTTATTAGTGGTGTGTATGGTAAATCCTATATTTATCTTGAGCATTGCAGTAAGGTAAGATAACATAAATAAACAACTAGTTTTGAGCAAAGTTACACTTGTCAACCTATCAGTTAAAATCAAGAAATTCTTTCAGAAGTATGGCACTACGGCTAATACCACCTAAAATCTGCTACCTTTTATGATTTCGCTACCATTAGCAACTAGTAATTTCTTAAACAAACCTAAAATACAATAGGGTCACAGAGTAGTTCCAAATTTACTTATGAAATAGACATTTAGAATAATTTATTTTTTGAAGTAATAGTTAGTTTTATGCATCAAGCACGATGCTGAAAGCTGATTTTTTCAGCACTACTGTTAGCTCAAATGAACTCTGCCGTTAAAAATAAAAATGGTGAAAAAATTGCTAAGAAATGACTGGCAGTAAGTTGGTAGTACGCAAGATGTTTAGAACAGAAAACTGCTTGTGTAAAGGGCGAAGTGCAAAGAGGATTAGTGACAAACACAGAGGTGAACATGGAGCACGAGGAGGTTTTACTGATTTGAACGAACTGAAATGAAAAATAAATAAAAAAAATCTCAAAAGCGCCCGAAGAAGGAGATGATGACCAGCGGAAAAAAGCCGTACATCTCAATTTTTTCTTCTGGAGGTGTACTGCTGTAAGTTCAAAAAAGCAGAAGCTTTTACGGTATAAATTACGGCTGCTCCAGCTTAACTGTTTAAAAGTTTTGACATCTTCGAGCCTCATTTCATTAACGAAATTGTAAGACGTTTGTCTAAAAGCTATGCGGCAACTATTGCTGTCAGCCGTTTCTCATGAGGTGAAACGAGGAGCCTATGGGAACCATATATTAAGAAGTAATTTTCAAGCATTGATCTAAAATTGTAGTTACTTGAATCAGTCTTTGTTAATTGCAGTAAAGGTGTCAGAAAGTAATTAAAATTAGTTAAAATTTGTAAGTTTTTGAAGAACAAATGTTCATCTAAAAAATGCTAGTTTTTAGGTTTTCGCTTATCAAGCAAGTGACTTTTATTATAAAATTTTTTATTACGGGGAGTTCTTGGTTCTGCTGAACATTTCATTAGTAACATGCACATAGATAAATTTACCAAAGCAAAATCTCAAGAGTACTTTCTTGACCGTATCCACTCACCAACAGCAGTAATTTCTTAGACCATTTTTGACGTCTTCTGCCTTTTCATTAGGTGTAGGTGTGTTATCTGAAAGACACTGAAGATAAGTTATCTAAAAATACTAGATTTTAAAAAATAAACTGATCTTGATCATGTCTTTGTAAAGCTTCAAAAAATTAAAGCTTTAAAAAACCTGTTTTTTTTTTTTTTTGAAAATAATCATAATTCTGACTCGTATCTAGGATGTCGTTGCAAAAGAAATTAGAACAGTGTCATCTGATAAAATTTCTGAAACTTTTTTTGAAGGAAAATTTTGTATCAATATTTGAGTTGAGGTGAAGCAAAATTTTGAATTTTTGTTGACAACTTTAGCTGAGAATCCTAAAAGATTTTTGCAGGCTTTTCAGTGCTTTTTTTATAGCTTGCTATTGTAACAATGACGCTGAGGTCCTGCTGAACATTTTATTAGACATTAATTTTTGTTCAAAAATTAAGTTGGCCAAATGAAGAGTAGTAGTCTGACTGCTGTTCTTTAATGCCATTAAAGTTTACGCTAAAAAATACCAGTACCTTAGCAAGAGCTAAAATTTTGGTAGTTATTTGAAACAAGTCTTTTAAATTTTGTTTTTGAAATACAAAGCGTTGAAAATATTATACATAGGTAGTTGTCTTAAGAAACTTACCTTTATAAATGCAGCAAAGTACATATATTTCTTCTATTATTAGCCAATCTTCTTTTGTTAAAAAACGCTCATTTATACAAATCAACTGTTTCGAAAGAGCTAAAAAATTATACTAGCAAATGTAGAACAGACTACATTCGAGACGGTTTATTAAATATCAAACCTGTGTTTAGTAGTCTGGAATCAAAATATTTTATTCGTTTACAGAGATCATCTGGCGAGCAAACAATTTCTTCATGCATAATAAGTTTCTAGTCTGTTGGTCAATTTCTAGAAATTGTCGAAATAATAATGCAGAAACAATGACTATTTTGTCAATAGACCGGTAAAGAAAGTGTAGTAGTTGCGATAAGCATAGAACGAGAATTTGGAGTTACAGCTAAACTACAAAGAAATTATCCACCACAGTGATGAGCATATTGAAGTCGGTCTTTTCGCCAAATACTTTATACAAAAAAAGCATTTTTTTTTTACAAAAATAGATGTTGCTGAAGTTCATAAGAAACAGCTGCCAACTTAATGCGTTAAAAATTGGCAACTAGAAGAAAATTTTTTAACATTAAAAGCATTCTTTTTTTTAAAATTTTTGTGACTTTAACTGCATTAGAATTATAAATTAGTGTAGTTTGACAGCTAACTTTTTTACAACACTTAAAAGTAATCAGATTTTTATTTATTATTCTAGAACATAGACAAAAGCTTGAAAAGTTAAAAATATTGCTGTATTTGCACTCAGTCAGTTACTGAACAAAAGTTATACAGATTCGCCTAGAAATTGTTTGCTTATTTACAAGTTAAACAAAATATCGTAAATCAAATCAGCAACCAGCAAGTTACTTTGCAATTCTAATTTTAATTTTGCAAATTAACCAGCTTTACCTAAGTAAAAAAAAACAAAATTCTACAAAAGCTATACTCAAACGGTAGGGTCAACGCAAAAATTTCAATAAAAAATGAAGAACAGGTAAAAAATCGTTTTGTCATGAAACAAACGTAAAATTCTGTTGTTATTTGAAGAAAAAAAATTTTACGTTTGTTTTATGGCAAAGCAATTTTTCTTTTTCTTTCGTTTAAAATTTTTAGCAAGTGCTTATTTCAACTTGAAGAGTAAACTCTTAAGAAATTTATTATGATGCCTGATTTTGTCTCCAACGAAAGTTTATACTCAAATAACTAGAAATTATCAAATACTGTAAAACCTCTCAAATTTTTATTTTTTTAAAGAGTGTTTTAGCAATAAAAAAAAACTGACACAAAAAAGTGTTGTCTAATCTTTCACTTTTAAATCAGCTTTTTTTACATATTTGAAAAATTAAAAAATTTTCAAACTTTTACCAATTTACCCTGCTTTTTTCTGCAAATTTTTTATAATTTGCAAAACAGTCACTAACTAAAACCGATAAACAAATTTTTTGAATGTTAGCAGTCAAAATTACACTGTTCAACATGGTTATTATACTAATATTTCTATATTAATAACTTTCTTGACTTTACCAGTTTTAATCACATTAAAATTACGTGAAAATATGCTTGACATTTCAGTAAACAACAAAAAAATTACTTTTTCCTACTTTTTTTAACGAAATGCTACCTAAATAATTTAACTTAATATTACCTTTACTGCGGTCATAATCCGCACCCGTAAATGACTTGTTTAAAATAACTTACAGACATTTTAAAGTTTATTAGAAAATTTCATTGATAACACTTTTGTGATTTGCTCGTCAATGACGCTTGTCGGTTCTTATAGCCACAAAAAACTTTACAGCTTTTATGAATCTGTCAAAGAATTGTAATTAGGCAACCGAATACCCTTACAAGAAAATTCTTATTATAGTTTTATTTGCAGGTTTATGGCAGACGCCTAAAAACTTCTGGGTATACATTCCTAAATTTTCTAAAAATAAAAAACTTTATAGACATTCAGTTTTTTAAAAGCAAAAAAAAATTTTTGAATTAAACGTTTTACCGCTGAAACTATTTGTGTCATGTCTTCAGCGACAAACATCTCCTGATTCAACAACATCTATTATGCAATTCTCTGGCACTGTTAGCCTTTAAAAACTGAACAAAAAGCGCCTGATTACAAGACTCTGACACACATATGTTTTCAGATCATTCAAGTCAATCTTCAAACGAATAGTCGTGATTTGACACGAGTGATTTTGGCAGAGCAGGATGAGAACGGCTGTTGCAATAAATTCTATAAAGAGGTTTTTATGCTACTATTTTAAAAAGTAATACCCCGTGAAACAAAAACTGAAAAATTTTTCAGCATTATATTAAATGGTGAAATGAAAAAACATGAAACAATTTTCGTCAACTGATTTGGGT